TGAAAACACTCACCTATATCATAAAAAAAAGCCTACCTAATCCGAAAATTTATGTTGCGGACAAATGCAATAAATTTATAGGTCCGACGGAAAAAAAATTTATCGGCATATTAATACCTGGGATTTGGAATAGGTATACTGGTATTATATTTTATTATTCAATCATGAATGAACTGTATATAATCCTGAATAATAACTATGTATAAATATACACGAATTCTTTGAATTTGAACAATTCCATCATATTAATGTACATGGGTTTGATAATTCTATGTTTAATCAATTAGTAATATGTAAAACACATATTTATTTAAAATATTTTACTAATATAATAAATATTTATTTACAATATTTTATTAATAATTCATGTAAAATTATAAACAATTACTAGGTGGGTTGATACCTGCGGGTACAGAAAAAAAACATATTTATGCATTTTTCTATATATTAATTTATTCATTTGCAAGTTTATATTTTTAATCAGTAGATTGAATTAGAATTGGGATCGTTTACAGTTGATTTAGAAATCTAAAATGAAATGAATAAAATATAGAAATCTACAAATTTATCAAAAATTAAGTTTTATATACAAATATTTATTGATCAAAATATTTCTTGTAGTATTGATGATATTTATAAAGATTATCTGATTCCTAAATTTTAGAATGATTTTACTAATTTTGTTCAATTACCAAACATGTATATTTAATTATTGTGACATAAGTTTATTTTATTATAAATCGCTCTATTTGTAATCTTACTTTTTTAGAAATTTAGTAATTTTATATTCGTTACCTGCTTGAATCAAAACGTCTATCATTTTATTATCAATAACATTTTGCTTAGTATAATAAGTATTTATGTATAACTAGTAAATGAACATTTTTTTAACAATTTTAGATATTCGTCGAAATCATATTTTACAAATTTACAAATCTTGTTTAAAATTTTTATTAAATATGTTTATTCATATAATTATACATATTTATAACACCATTTTTATTAATATAATTAATTTTTAGTATTTATAAAACTATAAATTTATTTATAATAATGAATAGAATTTATCAAACTCTTATTCTCTTAAAATTTATTCAAATTTCATTTGTTATTTCACACATTTTAGAAAGAGGTATCTAATATAAATATAAAGATATGAATTTTAATATAAGCAATATGAAATATATACAATATCTTCATAAGGATAGACATTTTTGATAAAAATGCTCTGTACAATGTAAACTTAATAATTTTTGAAAGTATTATAAGTTTTCTTAGATTATATCATTTTATTGTAAAATGATCATTCTACGAATCAATCAGCACATTTTTTTTGTTTCCATATCTTAACAGCAATCAGAACCTTACGTTCTACAAGCTGAAACTGCTCCTTACTTTGTATTTTTAGATGGTAACCCAATGGTTATTATCCATCCATATTTAATGATTTTATTATTAGAATTTATTATCTAATAGGGATCACCACATTTTAAAATATGATAGTTCGCCTTTTATAATTGTATTAATATTATGTTAATTTTACTGCTTGTATAGCTTTGATTTTGAATTAATTTTCAGTGTATTCAATTATTTTTCTTTTATTTCAGTGATTCTTGTGATGTGACAAAGTAGGATGCAGTCATGAAGTCTGCTATTTTGTATCCCTATGGTTCCTTGCACGGACGCTACTGCTGCGGCCTGCTCCATGCAAAACACCTTGCCGCCGCCAGTGGCGTTTATTCCTTGGTAAGTCTTTTTAATTACAAAATAATTTTTTAAATATATGATTGAAGTTTAAATATTCACATAAAAATATTTGCCAATGGTACATACGTTATTATATTATCTTAGAAGAATATAGATTATTCTAAAGGGGCGTCCATTAATTACATGAGGCTTTTATGGGGAGGGAGCATTTGACAAAAAATCACAAAACGTCACTTTGAGGCAGGGAGGGGTCTAGTAATATATCATGTGTATTTATTTTTACCCGATTTTTATAAAAAAAAAATCAACTTATTTCAATTTTTTTAAAAAATCACGATTTTTTCGTAAATTTGATAAAGTACGTAATCAAAAATACAGGTAATTTTTGGTGGGGAGAGGGGGTAATTTTGAATATCACGACGTATCACCAAGGGGGAGGGCGGGTTTCAAAAATCACTAAAAAATCGTTCATGAGTTTAATGGACGCTCCCTAAATTATTATTAAACGTGTGGATTTAACTCATTTATTAATGCTATCTTGTTTAAAAAAAATTATTTGATGTAATGCTGTGTTGTTTCAAGTTTTTCGATGTTAAGAATTGTATAGGTCATTTTCGATTGAGATAAACATAAGAATAATATTAAGTGTAACATTTGGATGCATTCCACAAAAAATATTTTATCTGTGTATTAAATTCTTTTTTAACTTCCCTTAGGGTGAGTTATAGTAATCGCAAAAAAATCTTAAATTTTCAGAGTTTCTAAACATTGTGGCATACCTGTGTTCGAATACATATATTTATCGACTATTTCAGGAACACGGTTCAATCGATTTAAATGATTTAAAAAACCTTCGATTTCTATTGATGAGGAGTGCTGATTAGTTTTTGGACAATATAGGTCGAGTCGTTTCGAATATACGGGACAAAAAATGCCAAATCGGTAACTCAGTTTTTAGTCAGATTTTAATAATTCAAAAAACATTTTACTTGTATTGACCAAATGAAGAATAAATTGATTTTTTGGGAAGGCAGGTCTTAGCGGTTTCGGAGATGAAGTAAAAAAAGTGAAACTAGTGGTGCATGGCATCGTAGCTTATGGCAAATTACTAGAACTTCCCGTACCGTAATTAAACATTCGAGGAATGAAAATAATCAATAATTGTTTTAAATAATTTTAAATATATTATTTATTATAAATACATGCAGTAAATTTATAAGTGCTTATTAAATTGGGCGACGAGCGTAATCTACAAACAACTTATATGTGTCTGAAATTACAAGAAATTTGTTAATTTTTTTTAATTTGAATTTTTTGATAATCTTGAAATTTTTTGATAAATTTGATATTTTTTTAAAATTTTGATAATTGATTAACATTTCGATTTTTTTTGGATTTTTTGGATAAAATCGACTTTTTGAGAATTTAGAAAGTTTTAAAACATTTGATTTTTCTTGAAAAATTCGAAATACATAGCCTTATTTTGTAAGAAATCGATTATTTGAATATTTTGTATGTGTGTTTGTGTGTGCGGATTTCAAGAACTCAATAACTAAGCATTACATAAATTTAAATTAAAGTTTTTTTTTTTAAATTTCAATTTTTCAGCAATTTGCATTGAGGCACCATGCCATGCACCACTAGTTAGTAGATAATAATTAAAATTAAGTATTAATTACATAACATTATTGTTATATCTATCATGTTTGATCTGCTGTATCTGACTTCTTGTATCATTCAGATCATATAAGAAAAGCAAATACCTACTCAAATTTTCTTAGAATACTGGTAGGAACTCTAGGGATTGCATTGAACAAAATTCGCAAAGGATTATATGTCCTTTATTTCTGATAGCATTTTACATTTTGTAGTGAAATATAGTGCAATGCTATATATTTAAAGATATCTCTGATAAATAGGTAACATATATGCAAAAACCTATATAGGTAAAATATTTAAATTTTACGACGATGTTATATTTGAGAGTTTAGACATTCAATTTGTTATTAAATGATAGCTTGTGATTCATAAGACTCACTGATTATTTTTAAAATGGTTATGATGAGACGATTTATTTATGTTTGTTAATTATATTTTGAGACTGTAATCAACAATTCTAAAAGTATTTGCCAGAAGAAGTTGATCCAGAAATAACATAACCTAATTGAAATTAGTGCTCCTTACAGATTTTGTTGAAAAAATTATCACTGTTGCATTTTTATTCATTTAATATAGTAAATTTTCTGAATTTGTGTACCTTTCATCGTTAAATATACAGCTAAGTGTATTTTAAAAATCGTATAGTATGATATCCGTGGAAAATATCAGGAGGAATAAAATACCATCTTATTTGAGAGCATTATTATTAAATATACTATATAGATTTGAATAGACATTTTGAACAATTTTCAAGAATATAAAGTTCGGTGCGTAGTTTTTGATTAATCGTAAAAAAATGCGTTTGAACTATCGAAACACAAATGAGTCGAATTTATAACGATTCTGTTTATAAATTTTCATCGTAATTTTATGTTAGTTAACTATTTAATTAAACTGCAAAAGCAAAAAACAAATTGTTCGAGCTTGTTTACTTTTTCGTTATAATATGAGGGATGAAAATTTTAAAGCATTAATAAATTTTCATATCCACATTTCGTTTAATTTAGGAAAATTAGGCAGAATATCCATATTTGCTTTAATATAGTTATAATTAGTTCTGTCGGTTTTGAATTGGAAATTACAGACATATTTTAACTGTTTATCATGGCAGTTAATTAAAGTTGAGCTGCGTTTACGCCGTTCTGAGTGTTTAATGAGCCGAATAATTTTCAGAATGTCATGAGATGAAATAGTAGAAGTATATTTACGAGATGAAATAGTAGAAGATAATTTGCAAAACTGTCATTGGCACGTCTTTGAAATTTATTGATCTTTAACAATTATAAAAGTTTTATATCGTGAATTTCAGTTTTTATAGTTTGGTGGAAGTTATAGAGACTTCGAAATATGAATTGTATAGATAGCTTACAAAGGCCTGAGTTTGCAAAATGACTATTATATATTTTAAGATGTAGATTTTCTTGATGTTATAGAATAAAATTAGCTAATTTGATAGAATTTTCAACTGTTAAACAATCTTATAAATGTAATTGTGCTAATTACTCGTAAATTTGATTCAATCAACACGTTTCATTCTACTTTATATTCTAAAAACGTATTTTCTTTAATTATGGACGTCAACAGAGATCAGGTGATCATTTTCAAAAATTTAATGAAATTTAATTTACAACCATTTTTTGTAGATTTTAGTAGAATATTTGTTGATATCATGAACTCCATCATGCAAGGTGTTTTCAAAGTCACAAAGACATTTTTCTTAACAATTAATTTCGAGAAAATGTTTTAAATTTTCAAAATCGGTTTAGGATTTTACTTAGGCAAAATCGTGGACAATTAGTGGGGTGCTTAGCATTGTGCTTTAAGGCAAATTGCTGGAACTTCCCGTACCGTAATCAAAAATCTTGATACGTAATCCAAAAAATTTACACAAAATGTGCACACGTTATTAAAATCTCTATAATATATCTGATAATTTGATCTGATGTACATATATCCAATAAACATTTTTGACCGCCAAACGACAATTTTTTAACTTATTTTTATTGAGAGACCATAACCACTAGACCTGCCTTCCCAAAAATTTAATCAGTTCTCAGGGGCGCAGCTTGCCTTGGCATGACCTCGTATCAACATTTGTTCAGAAATTCATCCCCTCAATTTTTTTTTTTTTTTACAAAATATAAAAATTAATTAAATTAAAAGAATATCTATTTATCATTCTTATTATTTATGTATCTAATTTTCTCTTATTTTCTGAATTTTTCACAAATGATTCCAGGTATATATTCACTTTCTTTGATTTTTTTGAAAAATTAAATTATTTAATGATCTTTAAATTTGATAAAGATTCTGTCACTAGGAACGTACAGGTCTGGTAGACATTCCTGTCCTAAAGTTTTTACGTAATTTTTAATTAGTTTCAATTTTAAAAATTTCTTCTAGCAGTTGCGATTTTAACTGGATTCATCCATCACATTTCTTAGATTTTTGAATTCAAACTTATTTTTAGAGCCATCAAATGGTCATGATCTTATGAGATATTTTTATAGTATTTCTTTACAGTAATTCAGTCGACAGATTTCCGGAAACGTTTATTAATTCTCCATTTCAAAAAGACAAATGTTACCATTTACGTCGCAAAGTTTTTAAAATCTTTGTTTGGTTTGTGAAATTAATATATCCAAACAGTAATAGTATACATTAAAATAAGATTTCGGGCCTAAAATTTTTTCATCTTGTGATAACTCATCATAATAACTTGTGATAACTCATCATAATAACGCTTCAGTATCTTTGTCTTTTGTTCTTTGAAATAGTTATTGCAATTCATCTGGATTTATTATATAGACTTGTTTAATTTTTTCTAAGATATGCCAGAATATTCAGAAACCTCTGAAACGTAAATATATATAATAATGCTCATTTTCGATTTTTTTGCGACTACTATAACTTACCTTGCAGGAAGTTGAAAATATTGAATTTTACTGTTAATTTAGAAGAAAAAGCCCAACCAATCGTCTCTCAAAAGGTCTCAATTTGGCTCGCACACATACATACATACACATGCACAAAATACAAAATCAGCTATTTTACAATAGATTACCACAGTATACAACGTTCAAAATCTAAATGATTTTCCTGTATTAACTCCGACATATGGGTTACTAAAATGCCTTTTTTCGAATCATTTCATTCTGTTTATCGTCCACGAGCAGTTTCCAAGTATAAAGCGGTAGTGTTGGATTTAGTGACAGAGATCGAGGCACTTGGATTAAGTAGCCCTGTATTATATATTGCTTAGTGAATTGTTAGTGGATTTAGTGAGGCTTCTGCTAGCATACGATATAGATAAAGCTCTGAATTATGACCAGTAAATGGAACGCTGGTAGAAGACTGTTGAGACGAATATTTAATAAAAT